GAGCTCATGTCCAACTCGTCAAATGCTTTCTTTCAGGTTAACTTAGGATGTGAGGAATGTGTGTAAATCATCATGATCATCCTCGGTCATCGGGACTTCATGACAGGCAGGCAACCCACTATTATTACCCTATTTTGGATACTTACGTACCATTGCATTACGAGTTTGCATTTCATATAAAATGACAAACTATTTAATCATGTCTTTCTAAGTTAGACCAACTCACCTAATATAATCATAGCCTTTATCTAACCAATGGGTTTGGATCGCTTAATTGCTTAGTTGACTAGCTTCGTTTCAAGTCAAGTGTCAGAAGGGAACTCACTCTCGCACATGTAGGAGTTACACTGGGATAAATAATTACCTAAAACTTGCAAGGTGTCAACTTGATTCAATTTAATCAATGTGACTAAGGACCAACCTCAATTTGAGATAATCAAGTAATGATCAATTATGGTAATCTCTACTCAAGCGAGGGGTAAGGTCACTCTGAGTGTTGGATCTCATGCATGTGACGTAGCTCATGGAGTAGCTAAGGACCGTGCATGGGATAGCGAGTTTGAGTAATAACCACCCATACAAACCACATATCACAAATGAAGGCAGTAAGCTAAGTACTTGGTGGTGACTCACTTATTGGGAAGATTCAGCATGAAGGGTGACATGGTGTAGATGCCATGGCGTTACACTAGTACTCAATCAAACTATTTGTCAATATGAGAGCCACATTGAGAAAAGGTTGGAACCATGAGGACACCCTAATCCAAGCACGGATATGGTGGTTCATCCTTGGTGTCCATGTGGGTATAGTTGTACACCTCTGTAGAGATTCTTTCAAAAGCTTGAAGTCCCTCGGGATGAAACCTTTTTGGTTGTTCTTACTTCTAGACTCAGTGTAGCATTGATGATGAAACTTTATGATGAGAGGAATTAAAATGTTGATCACTTAAACATGTTCTCAATATTATGTGTTATGTATTTGTCCTTGTTAAGAATCAAAACCTAAACCAGGAGCATGTCATTCTATTAACAAACGCCATGCTTTTCTGCAAATGTACAAATGCCTGATAATTCCATTTGCATCCACCAAATATGTATATGTTGGATTAAGTCCTACGAGTATGCAATGTACTTACGATGCTATCGATAAGTTGTTTTGTAGGTACTTCGGCTAGGTGACCATTGAGCCAAGCTCAATGAAGTCAAAGCATTGCAGACCTCAGGACGGGCGTCCCCAAAGTGAGTTGCGTGTTATTTTGATGTTGGTAATGGTGACTGAGCGAAAACTTAGTTGTAGTGTGGGTTAACATATAAACATGTAAATTACATCTTTTAAGTACCTTGTGTAATGGTTAATGATGTTTCAGCTATTAGTTAAATTACTCATGAATAATGATTGTGATACGTGATTTGCTTGATAAATGGCTCATGTTGTGTGACTAAACTATAAATGTTCCTAAAGAGGAGGTGCAAATGGCACTCTCCTGAGGATCCTCGGTGTTGGCTTAGGGTAAGATGGGGTGGTCAAGTGGACGACACCCGGGTTACCCTAGTGGGTGCCCCGGGGACCCTCACCCAGTGTCACACCCTTCGAAACCCAAGGAGCGAGAGCTCTCTAGATAGTCACTACCGAGACTGCCCCACCCGTTGGATAGCCGCCGCATGCCCCTCCTCGGCATGAACAGTGAGGATGGCCAGCATAGTGGAAACCCTAACTATCGCACCCTTAAATACCACGTTGATCTTCTTGTTCCCCGCCACCGCCACCACTCCAACCTTCTCCTCCTCCCTATCTGCACAGTCCCACGGCCGACGACGTCATGGCAACCGAGCCGCTTGGCCTCTCCATGTCGGTGTCGTCATCGGCCACCCACCGCTACTAGCAGCACCAAGGTCATAGCTGGTCGCGTGGTGTCAAAGCTGTCCACACGGCAGCCCTACCCACGTCACTCGATCAACTACCTGTAAGCCCACAGTGAGATGATCAAAAGGCCCAACCTTTCGAACCCTAGCTGTCGTCTGATGCCGATGAGCCTTCCGCCTCAACCACTACCTGCTGCTAGCCTAAGGTCAATGACCCCTCCATGTGTCTCCATCAAGCCATGTTTTTCTATCGGGGCCTCGTCAATTGTGTGATAACTACACTCATAGGCACATAGCGCGTACACCCAACACTCGTCGTGTCCTTCCGTGGCACTCATGCCTCAGATGACACCGACATGAGTATCCTTACTACACGATTGGTCACGCTCACATGACCCTCATTGCACGACCATGGAGCACCAATGTCATCCACTACTGCTTATGCAAGACCTAGCCCCGCACAGTCATGACCACCACAAACACAAGTGCACCAAGGACGCCATGGCCTAGCCACAGTCGTGACCAGACTCTCAGAGGCCATCCACGACCCCTAATCCGCTCTCGTTAGTCTGATGCTCAGTTGACCCTTGCCTTCCTACCTTGGAGGCATAAGGGGTGCATCTTGGCCCACCAGAGCCGAGCATGCACAACGCGCACCCCACGGGCATGAGCATGGCACACACATAGCCACATCGAGCTGCACGGGCACGGGAACGCCTGCCGCCATGCACGAACACCATGGTTGTGGCGTTGCCATGATGAGTTGTTGTTCCTACATCGTCGAGCCCTTATTTCTGCCTAGACCTACCCCGTGAGCCCTGTCCTACCTAGACACACCCATAGGTCCTAGTCCCGACTGTTAAAGGCCATTGGTGCACCTTAGCACCATCGCAATGCACACACGACTGCTATGCCCATGATGCCACCGTGCTAACACCTTTGCCGTACATATGCCAAACACCACGCATATCTAGGGAGAGTCGAGGAGCTTCATCACAGCAAGGAAGAACTGCTAACAAGTTCACCTAACCCTAGTGCCCTATAGCAGCCCGATGATGGAATCAGGATGCTGACGGACCTCCATTGCGACCGTTGACAGCGAGCGGCCTCTGTTGTGCCTAAGGACGCTGGTGCTGCTGAAAGCCCTACGTTTAGTTTTTGATAATTGAGACAACCAAGTGGACTAACCCTATGTTCCAGTGTTGTTCATGAGATAGGTTGGTCCACATCCAAGGTTGAGCATAGATGGCATTCCATGGTGTGATCATGGTGGCCAAATGGTGATCAAGTGCTCCAATCTTGGAAAAGAAGAAAGAGAAAAATAAACCCTATGGGCTCAAGGCAAAGGTATAAGATAGGGTGTTTGTTTTGTCGGTCAAGACACAATAGAGTGCGTGATTAGGTTTAGGATAGATAGCCATACTATTAACAAGGAAACTCAATGTTCAATACGGTTGCCTAAATGCCACTAGGTGAACTAACTTCTTGCATGTGCATTAGGACCTAGTGAGTGCATGAAAACCCTTTGAAAATTATTACGAAAATGCTAACTCACATACTCAAGTGATGAACACTTTGGAGTTAACACATGAGAGAAGGGTTGGAAGAAAAGAGTTAGCTAGTGGGCTATTCTACAGGACGTCAGACCCTAATCAGCAGAAGCGTCGGACCATTAGGCTCTTGGTCCGATGCCTAACTCTAACAGCGCAGTGTGTGTGAGCGACCATCGGACCTTGCGAAACAGGGCCATCGTACGGGTCGGGCGCACTGTTCATTAGGCGGCATCTGGTCAGCGCGCGAGAAGCTCTGGTTGTGGTCGTCGGACTCTGTTTTTGGTCCGACGGCAAGCATCGGACTCATCGATCGGGAAACCGCGTTCTGGAACCTCTCTGTTCCGCGTCGTACTATATGGCCAGTATAGTCCAACAGTCGTCGGACCTTGAACGTTTTGAGCTAGTGTAGAGAGGCGTTGGGGCGCCAACGGCTATATTTGAATGGTTAGGACATATGGCGTGCGGCGGAGGCATCAGACCCTAGCTCTAATGGTCTAACTCCCCTGACTTTTGGGTCTGATGGTCGGTCTGCAGGTAGCAATGAGACAACAGCTAGTTGAGGCGGCTTGGTGGTGTATATATTTCTCTTGGCACTTTGACATGGTGTACACCCTCTTGAGCATACCCAAGCATCTCTCACTCATTTCCTTCTAGATTTGATCATTTACAGTGAGACTAGGAGTGATCCTAATGCATTTGCATTGAGTTGAGGCATCTAGTGGCAATAGTGACCATGTTGGCTGCGGGGTTCTTGTTACTATTGGTGGTTGTTGCCATCTAGACAGCATGGAGGCAACGGAGGATCATTGAGCGCTTTGGTGATTGTTGCCGACTCTGATTGATTTATTGTAAGGGGCTCTTGTGTTTATCCCGCGGGAGATTCGCAAAGAGCAACTCTAGTGAAATCGTGGCTAGTTGGAGTGACTCTCTGGTGTGGTTCTTGCAGCGCCTAAGTGGTGGGCTTGGCGTGTGATGCTAATTAACGTACAAACCATCTAGCTTGGACTTATCACAATGAGAATGTTGCTTTGGTTGCTATTTTATCTTGGCCCATTTTTTAGACTTTTTTTGGCCCATATTTGTTTTGAGTGTCAAATCAGCCATATAATCCGAGTCATACAATTTTTTAACATCGATTCGCTTTTCAGCCCATCATACAAATTTTAGAAACAATAGACTAATTTGAACTATGTAGAGGGATAAAGACTAGTTTGAAGTTTTAATTGCAGATTAAAAATAGAAAGCACAAGCGCATGTCATCGATTGTGAGAAAGCACAAGCGTGCTGGTAGGAGAAAACAGTGGATAGTTTGATGTTTTTGGAATTATTATTTTTTGGTTCTCCACTCCAGGTATATATATATATATATATATATATATATATATATATATATATATATATATATATAGCTGTGGGCTGGCATTTTCATTGGAGAATTAAAAAAAGTTTCTATATTAGTGGTGTGATTTTTCAAGAACTTAATAAACTAATTAACTATACGTACTATTTTGGTATGTTTTTAGACTCCAAATTGAGCAATCATGAACAGTTACACACTAGCTGGAAGCTACTGACAATGAGCACTCAGTACAGGCTTGCGATCTGCGGGTTGCAGAAGACGAGCACCTCCACGAGCTGGGCCCTGCCCTCGTCGCCGAACAGGCTCTCCTTCCCATCCGGCCGCCTCGCGTACGACAGCCCGAGCCGCGAGCGCGCGCTGCGGAGGTCGCCGACGCCGGCGCTGGAGTCGGGTCCAGTGAACTCGCCCATCACGGCGGTGACCGGCGGGCCGATGAGCAGGCCGTCGGCGCCGAACTGTGGCCCGCCGCGGGAGTAGGCGAACAGCGCCGCGCTGCTCCCGCCCACCTTCGGCAGCACCACGGGCTGCGGCGGCGAGGCCTCCGTGGATTCCGCCGGCGCAGCAAGCTCCTCCGGCCAGTAGAAGAGGAACGCGTCCAGCGTGTCGTAGTAGTCGTCCGTGCTGCGGTACCCCTCCGGACTGAACCCCCCCGAACCGGAAGCCACCGCCGGTGTAGCCGACGACGACGCAGGGGCCCTTGAAGTCGCACCGCCGGTGGAAGTCCGTCGCGCTGAAGCCGTCCACGGTGGCCTTGTAGCAGCACTTGAGCTCACGGTCTGCACCATTATTATCATGCACACAAAACAAAGAAAATTAGTCACTGCACTAACTGCAAAACTAAAATATATGACAACAATCACTTCGCAACCAGAGCGAGGCAATTGAACGCCCTCTTAACCAATTAATTCAAGAGCATATATACTGTAATTTGTTAGATTGATCTTCACCGGCTCAGTCCAACAACCGAGTCGGACTCAGACTCGCGCCCTGATCGGGTGCGCCCAGCCGTACTCCAGGCTGGTGGACCCCCGTTGCACAATGCTATAAATAGGAGGTGAGTGCTGGGGGGCTCGTGACACGAGGTTCGCTGCCACCCACAGAACCCCACTTAAACCCTAATCCGATCCAGAGGGTAGCGCTGAAGGCGATGGGAAGCTCCACCGGTGTCGCCATTGGATCTCGTTGCCCCTGCTCTCGCCAGACACCGCGAGCCCGACGTCTACACCCGCCGAACTCCACCAACACTCCACACCACCGACGACATGGCTTCAACCTCCGTCAAGCCCGTCGATGGTCGGTACCCTTACCTCTCTCTCTGGTTTGTGCTCTAGGATGATCTACATGCTTATTTATCTCGAATTGAAAGAACACACCCACTAGATCTATGCCTAGACGATCTTAAGAGCTAACAATGGTATCAGAGCTTTCACTAGCATTTAGATCTAGGACTGGGGAAGAAATTAGAAGGAGACGAATCAAAATTGAGATTCGGAGATTTGGACTAACCCTAACCCTAACCCTAGAAGAAGAGAAAGGAAAGAAAGGGGGTTTTCCTAACTGGAAACCGCCCACACCATCACCACCACCGCCCGTCGCCTTGACACCACGTGGGAAGTCACCTCGAGCCACCGCGGGCACGAGGACTCACCATCGTGCGATCTCCGCCTTGGACTCGGGTAAAGGGTACCACCCGAGGGCCGCTCGACGGTGGCGCGCTCAACCTCCGACGAGTGCGCGCGCCGGCGAGGGGCCCCGCGGCAGCGCCGCCATCCCTCCAGCTGCCACGAGTGACCACAAAAACCCTAGATAGCTCTTGCTCGGTAACGGGCTTGGAGAAGAAGTAATGGGAGCAAGAAAGGAAGAAAAGGGGAGCCGGTCGGGACTTGTCCGCCAACCACCTCCAGCCGCCGCCGATGGCCTCGGGCGGCTGCGCCCCGCCATGTGCCATAGTCGCTCGGTGCGACGCATAGAGAGAGAAGGTAAGGGAGAGAATGAACCTAGGGTTTAGGTGAACACCGGCCGGGGGTGAGTTTTGATCTCGCGAAATCGCCGCTCGACCGTCGGATGCAAATGGATGGCCACGATCGACCGGGCCGCTTTCGGCCCAGCGGGAAGAAAAATCTCGGTCCAGGCCCATGTTGCGGCCTGTGCATGGAGTAGAGCCGCGCGCGCAGCTGGGCCATCTTCGTCGAAGGGCTGGCCTGCTTCACCGCGGCAAAGGCCTACTGGGCCGCATAGCGCGCAACGCGCGTTGGGCCAAGGAAACGTGCAGTGCGCGAAGGGCCTTCGAGCCGAATTCAGAATGGATTTTTGTTTTGTTTTATCATTTCAGAAGTGAAATTAGAATGAATTTTAGTTGATTTTGAAGTTTTAAATCTCTGTCAAAATTTGAACCAACGGAATAATTTTTTTAGATAGTAGGTGAATATAGAAAAATGCTTCTGAATAATATTATTTTAAGATTTTTTCACGTTTCCGCTGCAAAGTTGATGTTTATTATCTTCCAATTAAATTCGAACAAACGAGAGGATTTGATTTGAAGAGTAGTTATAATTTTTCAGTAATTTATGATATTGCTAATTTTGTGTCCAAAGTTGTTAATAGCAATATTATAATTTTATTTATGAGTTGTATGCATTAATTTTATTTCTGTCCAACGGTGATGTAGAATTAATGTAGAAGAATGATGTTTTATTCTATTTTCAGGCCATCGGTGATATAGAATAGAACTAAAAGATTTAAAAGTTTAATGCACATGTTTTTAACTAGACCAACTAGGGTTATTTTCTTGCTCATTATTGTTTAATATTTTTCAGACAAAGATCTCCATGCTTTCATTCTTGAAGGCAGTAAAGAAAATAAGCTGGGTACTTGTGACTCATAAGATGAAAAGTGTAAGTTCTGTGAGAAAGAAGGCCATTGCGTAAGGGACTGTGTTATCCTTAAAGAATGGCTTGAAAAGAAAGGGATTCAGGGATATAATTAATCTGAGAAAAGGAGACAAAGCAATAAGAGTCGCAAATGGCGGCGAAGTTGATAAGGAAGCTGTTGGTCAACTCCCATTAGAGCTTAACAGCGGCTTCACACTTAGTTTAAGAAATGTCTTTTATATACCCTCTATGAAGAGGAATTTAATTTCAGTTTCAGTCTTAGACGATGATGGATTTGATTGCCATTTTGGTAATGGCTAGTCAGATTATGTTTAATAATAAATATGTTGGTCTTGTCTTCTGATAAGACAACTGAGAATGTGAAAGTTGTGAATACTGAGAATGAGAATGCCTCCTCGTCTTTGAATGCAAGAAATAAGCGGAAGAGAATTCATGATGTATCATCAAAATTATGGCACTGTCGTTTAGGCCATATTTTGAGAGAAAATAGAATGATTGATTAAGAAAGCAATTCTTCGGCCATTAGAAGTTTCAGGTTTTAAACAATGTATTGATTGTATTAAAGGAAAGTATGTTAAGAAAATAAAGAAAGACTTCAAATCAAAGCGCAGGAATTTTAGAAATAATTCACACAGATATCTGTGGTCCGTTTTCTGTGAAAAGTGTGGATGATTATAATTCATTTATAACATTCACAGATGATTATTCTCGTTATGGCTATATTTATCCAATTAAAGGAAGGTCAGAAGCATTAGATAAATTTAAGATATTCTAGGCTGAAATAGAAAATCAGCACAATTTAAAGATTAAGATAGTAAAATCCGACCATGGGAGAGTACCACAGCCGACATACCTCATGGCCAAGTTACTGGACTTTTTGCAAAGTTCTTACAGGAAAATGGCATAGTTGCCTAGTACTTTACATAGGGCGATCCTCAGTAGAATGGTGTACCTAAAGGATGTAACAGTACATTAATGGATATGGTAAGAAGTATGATAAGTTACTCCACTTTACCGATAAGTTTGTGGATGGAGACGTTAAAAACTGCCATTCATATTCTTAATCGAGTACTAAGAAAGTCTGTGCCCAAAACATAGGGAAGCTAGACTCCAAGACAGTCTATTACCATTTCATTGGCTATCTAGATAAGTCAAAAGGTTATCACTTCTATTGTCCTGACAGACATACGAAGTTTATAGAAACAAGACACGCTGTGTTCTTGGAGGATGATATGGTCAGGGGGAGCATGGTAGCGCGAGAAATTAACCTTGAGGAGAAGCTGGCATACGTGCCCACTCCGATGGTTCAGGAGCCATTCTTCTCGCTACCTGTTGCTGCTGCACCAACAATGCAGGACACTGTAGTGACAACACCTGTTGTTGGTTCTCCCATAGCGACAATAAACGAACTTGAGGAACCTGTCCTTCAGGATCCTATAGAGCTCGTTGTCGCATATGAGGAAGAGCAACAATAGCCCCATATAGAACAAGTGCCAACTAATGAGGCCCCAGAAGGTCTCAAAGATCTAGAAAATCAATCATTCCTGATGACTACGAAGTCTATGTTAGTAAAGAATATGTTAGTGAAGACTATGTTAGTGAAGAATTTCAAATGGAGGGTGATCCCACCTCATTTGAAGAAGCCATGAGAAGCGATCACTCGTAGAAGTGGCTTGAAGCCATGGAAGATGAAATAAGATCAATGAGCACCAATGATGTTTGGGACTTCAAAAAAAATTCTTAAAGGAGTCAAAACAGTAGGCTGTAAATGGGTTTACAAAACCAAATATGACTCCAAAGGGAATGTGGAAAGATTTAAAGCGTGACTTATGGTGAAAGGATTCACGCAAAGAAAAGGAATAGATTACAATGAGTGTTTTTTTCTCCAGTCTTATGTAAGGATTCTTTTAGAATCATAATGGTGTCAGTGGCACATTATAATTTAGAGTTACATTAGATGGATGTAAAGACACCATTCCTCAACGGGCATTTGTATGAAAACGTTTACATGGCACAACCCAAAGGTTTTGTCGTGGAAGGAAAAGAACGTATAAGATGTCGCCTACTGAAATCAATTTATGGGTTAAAACAAGCCTCTAGACAGTAGTATTTAAAGTTGATGAAACAATAAGAAAGTTTGGGTTTAAAGAGAATGAGAAGGACAATAGTGTTTATGAAAAGTTCTAGAATGGAAAATTCATTTTCCGCATCCTGTGTATAGATGACATCCTACTTACCAGTACTGATGTTGATCTGCTATTGAAGAAGAAGTTCTTGTCCTCAAGTTTCAATATGAATAATCTTGGTGAAGCGTCATTTGTTTTAGGAATTGAAATTCATCGAGATAGAAGAAAAGGGGTATTAGGACTATAGCAAAGGCATACTTAGAAAAGATTCTAAAGAAATAAAGTATGCATACGAGTAAATCTATCCTGCTCCTATAGTCAAGGGTAATAGATTTTTGGGAACTTTCTATGTTCTAGAAACCAATATGGGATCGATCAAATTAATATGGTTCCATATGCTTCAGCTGTTGGAAGCTTAATGAGTGCACAAGTAAGAACTTACCCTGACGTAGTTCACGTGTCCGGGATGTTTTGGCAGAAGTCCATTCCAGATATAGATCACTGGAATGGAGTTAAGAATGTCTTGCAATTTTGCAAAACATTAAAGGCCTCATGCTGAGTAAGGAAGAACAAGTACTCTCAAATAGTTGTGGGTACAAATGTTAAACTTCGGTGAGATGTGTAGTAAAATCCACAGTAGTTGTTAACACTCGCAGTTGGAGTTTTATTATGGAAAAGCTCCAAAGAAACAGTTGTGGTATCATCAATGATGCATACCCATAGTATAGCTTGTTATGAGGCTTTAGGGACAGGCAAAAGTGGTTAAGG